TCAAGCAATCAGGACAAAATCATCGTATAAGATTAGTAAACTATGTTATGAGCGAAAAAAATCCGAAAATACTAAAAATTTCTAAAATAAATGTACATTACGAGGTGACCCTAATTTTATGCTCGGCAATGTATATCTAATTTAACGATAACGGTTTGACAAAAAATGTTACCGCACGTAGTTACGTTTTATGTATACAGTGTACATCTTACAAGATGTCGTTTTATTTTTAGACTAAAAACTTTATATAACATTATTATCAAAAAAGCAGCGATTACTTTCTAATTAAAATATGTTGCTACATCGTCGGAACAATAATTGATAAAGAAACAATAATTGATAAAGAAACAATAATTTTTCAAGGCACATTTTTATGGATAAATTTAAGATTAGTTCTTTTTATCGCAAAAATACATCATCTCACAAGTCAAATTTAAAATACAAATATATACACTATTATTGCTACAATTGATAAATACAGTGAGACATATGTACACTAACATTACTAGCGTAGAAGATGATCTTTCAATGTTACCTTTCGGTGAATGACCCACTTTACCCAAGTCAATAATCTAATTTCATAAACACTTGAAACGGCAAGATCTGTTCTACAAAATCTGAAGTACTTAAAAAGCCAGCTAATGTAGGGTGTCTGAAAACAAATGCAGGATTAAAAGTTATTTTCTCGTTGTACTATCTTTATTGTGTTTCTTTAGCTCTTTTTTGTTCTTGCTATTATCGTCAAGTTCATCGCAAGGGGCATACATTGATGTTCGTTATTAAATAAATTGCCCATTTGTTTTTATTTTACTGTTGCTAATTATTACTTCCAGCGTCAGATTAAAGAGTAATGTTGAAAGAGATTGTTAATCGCCATTTTGATTCAAAAGTTCGTTACACAACTTTTCCGTCGCCGTACTTTTCAAAAATAAAGATAGCTTTCAAGAAATTAAATAATGACATACAGTATTAACACACCTTGATTTAAAAGGGGCGTTTGATTTGAAACTCGATCGAGCGAGCGTCGAGGAGACCGAGAAGTGATGACGTCACAATAGAGCATTGAATCAAATCAAATAAAACAGAGTAAAAAACATAACCTCGCTTTTTTGTGATTATTGTTTCTGGTTTGTATGTTAAAATAGTGAGCAAAAAGTAAAGAAAATGGAAAAACTTTTAATAATAAGGGGTAATGGCTCTGAAATGCAGCATTTACCACAAATGCCCGCTTCGCTCTCATACTCCATGACAGTGATTACTGGTGATTAGATCTGGACAGAAAAAATGTATTTTCCAAACACACATTTTGTGTTTTTTTATGATGAATAATTTTAGCTTTAAGACAAAAGCGGCTAAGTAATTTGTTGACTTCTTGTCTGGTCTTTAATTTTGAGATTCAAATTTGTTTGTAAGTTAATTAAAAAGAGATAGGTAGAGACAGAGACAAATTTCTCCCTCTTCTCGATCTTTCTGCTCTGAGAACATCGAGCTCGCTCTATGTTCTCGCTCCAAAGCGAACAAACACTTTAGGGATCTCTCAGAGTGTCAATTCAAACACTTTTGAAGCGCTCGGAGATCTCCGATGATCAAATCAAACGCACCACAAATGTATATGCATGTTTGGTTGCCTACACCATAGGTAACTGTCAATATAAGTATATAACACATACTTTGATTTTCTCTTACTATACGGAGAATGGTCGCACTGCGCAGCTGAGTGCCTTTTAAAAGGAGATAGAAAACTCCGCCATTTTGATGCCTTATTACGTGTTGCCTACATCTTGGCGCAATATTTTTAATAGGTGTGTTTTAATCATCCGCTTCTGCTTCGGAATTGTCGGTTTTCTTGTTTAAATCTGACAGGTTAAAACGACTAAACCGACAATTCCGGGAGCAGAAGCGTATGATTAAAACGCACCTTATATTTTGCTTGCTGCTGTCAGTGTCAGTGAATATTATTTTTGGAGTCACAGTTTATTGCTAAAGAATCAGCTCACTCGGACCAGTTGAAAGTTCCAAAATAACATCCACTTCAGGGATACAAATTCAGGATGCGCAGAAGACTGCTGTTTTATTATATGCGGTTTTCATGTATTATCCGAGTTGCGCAGTGTATAAACTGGAACATTAAGATCAAAAGTGCCGCAGAGTGAGCGAACTGATTCTTTAGCTATAAACTGTGGTAAAGGCATCAAAATGGCCGCGCCCTATGTTGGGCGTGTCGGACCTCTTGCACCGTATTAGTAATCAAAGTATGTGGTATGTAATAATAGCAATGTACGTTGGGTTGTATGTAATAAAATCGTTGATTAATAGAAAATCATTCATTAATAGGGGCCATTAATCGACGATTTTGAGTGCGTTAAAATACATCATAAAGGGTTGGTTGACGGAAAATAATATTAACAGATTCGTTACAAAATAGCGGTGATAGGTTTCTATTCGCAAAAACTCGGAAAGAAATGAAATTTGGAGGAATGGTAGACATGGGTCCCCTGAAACTACACCTAAGTTTGCGACCTCGGGGAGTTGCCGTTTGAGAGGCGGAGGGATGAGAACTCTGCGTCGCGAAATAGCGCCGTTGTGGTAAGTGCTATCGAAAAAACAAAACAAAAATCAAATGAAATATGTACAGGACAAAATTGTGCACAAATTACTCTACACCTTATGGGGTTGGAGTGTCTGAGGTGATTTTTTTTTAAATGTTCGTCTTGAAATTGCCTATCGATCCCTTATTTTCGTTTTACGTCTTCATTTTTCCGGAATTCTGATCCAAAAATTGGTTTTTATGCAAAAACGTAGATGGGTGATTCTCGCCTAACTGTGATTTTTACAACTTATATTTTTCTAAAATTAAAAATGTTTCAAAACGTATGTTTTACGCGTTTTTGTTTTCTATTTATGTATAGAAATAAGCCTGTAAAGTGGTTCTACTACAGCTACGACACAACGAAAACTGTGACAAAATTTAAAAATTTTAATGCCACGGTACTGACATTATTTCCACGGTACTGACATATAAATGATTATTTTTATTTTTACCAATCCAAAGATTGGTATAAAATTGCAATAAAATTCAATGCAGTATGCATTAGATTGTAGTTATAAGAGGTAAATTTTATATTAAAAAATGAATTTTGATAGAAATTTATATATTTAATTTTAAAAACGAGAATCGGACATGCCACGGTACTGACATTTCGAATATATTTATATGCAGCTTAAAAAAAAATTACGAAGGTTTATGATCTAATTCATAATGTCGGTTGTAAAATACCTCTAAATTTATATTATTAACTTTTTGATGAGGAAAACTTATGCTAAACGATAAATAAAACACTGGACATAAAAAAATCACAGTTAGGCGAGAATCTCCCAGATTTCCCGCACGAAAGTGATCCTACAGTAGGCGAGATTGATATTTTACCAAAATTTTATAGGGGAAAATGTTCGTCTTCAAAGACCCTAAAAGACTGTACTTGGAATACTTTCACTAGCATTCATTTTTTTCGAAAAGTTCCAGGAGAAATTATTCATGGTTCATTAATGATGACCTATTATTTGCAAAATGGCCACTTTTATCAAGAAATTGAATTCCTCGAAAAGCGTTTAGAACCATTTATGGAACCTTTCTGAGGCTTCTCAGAATTTTGGGAAAATCTGGAAAATAGTCATGTCTGGACATTTTGTGAAATGGCCAAAAAAGTGGGCAAAAATTCTGATAATTCGGGCGCATTCCTCGAATGAGTACAAACAATTTTTGTTCAATGAAATTTTTTCCCATACTATCCTAATGTTGAGTAAAACGCGTTTCTTGTTATTTGAAAATTTTTGGATGATTATGACCATTTCAAGGATAATGGAAAATGTTTGACCATATTCCATGAGGTGTAGTATCAGGGGACCCATGTCTACCATTCCACCAAATTTAATTTCTTTCCGACCTTTTGCGAATAGACCCCCTTATACTTTACCCACCGCTTGGACTAAAAAATATGTTGGTCCATTTTTGAATTATTATAAAATTAATGTATGCATAAAATAAGAATGCAGCTAATAAACATGAAAAAGTAGATATTCTAGAATTTAATAATGACAATCAAGTATTCCATGGAATAGACACTTCGTGAAACCATTTTGAATTGCATTAATATAAGATACTCAAGACACTCAAGCAGCCTTTTGTTATATAGTCTTAGAATCACTTTTCTAAGTATATGCCAAACAGCTTGTGTGGGAAATGGTGGAAATGTTTAGATTTTTTTTCAGTTTTTTTGTTAAATAATTTTTATTAAATTAATATGATGACCATGTCCGACACTCAAACCTTTTATCATATAGTCTTATCACTTTTTCTAAACATATGACAAACGGCTAGCGTGAAAAAATGGTGGCATTTTCCATACAATTTTCCTGCAACTTTCCGACGCAAGCCTTCACCGTCCACATCCGATACTCATGCCAATTTTACTATTAAGTCTAATACATTAATAACATTCTATGGTTATAAAAACTTGCATGAAAAAATAACCGAAAAAAAAAATTGCAGAAATTTTTCCAAATCCAAAATGCACTTACTTATCCATTCGCGTCATTCAAGCCACTATGTTTTTCGGGCTAGTGACGATGTATGTTTTCATACTTTCGACGGGCTTGTGTAAAAAAATAAGTTAAAATATCGATTTTTGTTTACAAGATTACGCCCTTATTTCAACCCTTTAGCCACTTGCAACACACAGGCCTTTGGTTTTAAGAATCCAAGTTCTATTAATTAATCATTTAGTGAATACGCAAGGAAATATGAGCAAAAAACACCTTTTATTTCTGTTAAGGAAATCAAATTTCCATATGTTATCCCAAAGAGCCACTGGTAAATTTCCTTTCATTCTATTCGATGTACTTTTCAACCCTCTTCGAGGCTTGTATGCGAAAATGGGGCACCTAAATCGGTCACTATCTGACGGTCTACAACATATTATGTAATCCAAAATAAACAATCATATATTACAAACTATTTATTGTTTTAATTGTTTACATTTCTAACGCCTAATTTAGGTATAACCTAATAGCAAATGAAGGCATTTACACGATGCTTCTAACTCCGCATATTCGTGGCATCACCTTAGAGTTTGCCATGTAAATGTTCAAAAGCTTCTTTAATTTGTGATTTTCTCTTCTTAATTTCAACACATCTTCGCTTATTGCTTTCCGGTGTACCAAAATGTCGTAATACTTCTTTACCCCTTCTTCTAGGCCGTTCCAAATTCTTGATTGATCCTTGCTGAAGCCGTCTTTCAACATCGACCAAATCATTTTAATGTCCTTGTTGTCCAATAGGCGAGAAATTGTGAATCTGTGTCTACGTAATCTCTCTTCGTTTGTAGGAAATTCTTTGCTGTGTTCGAGATAAGAAGTTACATAATCTTTCAATGCTACCATGATGTAAACAGAACTTATTACGAGGGGGTGGTTATTTATACAAAGGAATTTCTCATCGGCGGATACATGTTTTTTCTTAGATTTTTTTTCTTTTTCCATTTCAGTGTGCACTATGTTTAGCATATCCTCAGATATTGTTCCGGTCACACTGGGTTGATCTTGTGGGATGTTTATAGACGAATCAATTAACTACAAAAAAATTAAATTAAGTTTAATATAGAAGTGAAGCAAAGAAAAAATATTTTAAATCTCACAAGATATTATGTAAATTAGCGACCTTTATGGGACCTATTCTCGAATGTCTATTAAAAATGTCGCATTCATCATAATGTCTACTACTAATGTCTATCAAAATGTCGATCGACTGACACTATCCATATTCTCAAAGGAAAATCGACATTTTGTAATAGGTGACATATTTGGCGAATGGTAACATGTGGCAACATTGGATAGAAACATACAAGACGAGTATATTACAGCACAAAATTACTTAAAGGATCTCTTAGTAATACAAAATAATACTGCAAATATATCCCAAACATATGTCTTTTTGATAAATACTAATTAGAAAGTAGAGAAAATATAATATAATCTTTTAACTGGGATTAAATAGAAAATTGGAAGTACAATTTGGTAAGAGATTAAATAGTAAGAAGAAGAAATATATTATTATAATATAATCTAAACATTACCCCACAGACTGAGGTCCACTGACGTAGGCCTACTGATTGAGACCCACTGCTCGAACGAGGACCCACTGCCCGAACGAGGACCCACTGCCCGAACGAGGGCCCACTACCTGAAAGAGGGCCCACTACCTGAAAGAGGGCCCACAGCTTGAATGAAGGCCTACCGGTCTTTTGCCGGTAGACCGACAGCCCAATCCGACACTGGACAGGACTAATAATTGATAAATTAGGTGAGATTGTAAATAATCATTTCGTATATTTTTAAAAACAATTTGTACAATACTTACTTATTTTCATTTCTCTTAAAAATAAATATAAACTGTCACTGTTACGACAATCATATTATAACATTATATTTAAAAAGGCATGCGACATTACAATGTCGACTGGTTGAATACCACTCGACTTTATGTCTAACAACAAATGTCGAATTCGCCATTCCAGAATACGTTTTTGCGTTCTTATTCGACATTTCATCAATGTCGCGTGTGTCATTTAGAAATAGACATTCGAGAATAGGGCCTCTGAGCCGTTCTGCGTTATCAGCAGTAACATAATATTAGGAGAGATTAAAAAAGAAGAACCGATAATTGGAACAATCTTTTGGGGTTGAGACAGGCTAAGATACTTCTGGGTGAATATAACCAGAAAAGATCTGCCTGAGTAAGAACAGGCTACGTATTGTAACAGGGATCCTTACTGGGCATTGCCGACTAAAAGGACACCTTAGTAAACTGAGAGTAAACCTCCATTCATATTCTAACTGAATATGTAGCACTCTAGAATCCAAGGACACTTTACCTAGGAGCATATCAAATAGAAGAGGGTGTTTTACCTAACTTGAAGCCACTCTAAATCTTACACTTCTTTGAGAAGATAGGATTGGAAGGGTCGATATGGGCATTGAAATATTTCCTTGCTGCATTAGCGACAGAAGGGGGCATTATAGATCTTTTAGGTCGCAGTGTATTAGTACCCTATTCCCAATATAATATGACGTAAATTAGCGATCGTGTTCGAAGTTAATCCTTAATTAGGCCCTGAGAACCATATTTCTCCTTAAAATATAGGACATAATCCCCACATAAGATTTTTTTGCCCCACAAATATTTTTTGAAACTGATGAAAAAAATATTGTGCTATCATTTTATTTCTATTTTACAAAATATTAAAGTGGAAAATTAGGCGAAACAGAAAACACTTTAGAGAATTTTATTTAACTCTTTGATTGTGTGATGTACACAGCGTTCATATGCGGGGCGACATAAATCGGTGTCATTATGAAAAATGGCAGTTAGAAGTTAGCACCTGACACACCTCTCATTTAAGCATGAGCAGCAGAGAATTTGTTCTTAGACAAAAATTATTTAAACATTACAAGTGAAACATAAAATAATAATAAATACGTAATAAAATTGCGAAAGTAAAAAACAACGCAAAAAATATAAATTAAGAGGAAAATTAATTAAAAATCAGTAAATATTAGGTAAAATTTGAAACATTATACAACCTCAAATAAAACGTCGTCGATTACTGCATTAGGTTGTTGAATTCCCTCAAAAGCATTTTGGAGATGAACCAGAAACATCGACAGACCTTGAGTCATTTCGCTTTTTCCAGCGACAGATTGAGTAAACAACGATGATAATCTGTGTTCTTGTTCTAATGGCACTCCTACAAAATTCAGAACTTCATAAACTAGTCTAGAGTCATTTAAAGTCACTGAAACTAGTAACAAGAAACTACCTAGACCTTAAGAAGAACTATAGTAGGATAATCGCAATATAAAAGTTAGATGGGGCAATCGCGACTGACATCTATTGATACAATGATTCATATATCGAAATTACTTGCTGTTTAGTTACGCCCTCTACAGTAGCTTTTAAATAGGCCGTGCATAATCAGAACGGTGGCGTAGGTATCTAAGGCGCTCGCATTCATTTGCGAGCAATTTTGTGGTTGAGAGATACCTGACTTAGAATCATACAGAAGACCATGTGAATATATTTGCATGGTTCTCTATAGGATTTGATGGATGTCGTATTAGCAGAAATTTAATTTCTGTTGATATGACACCCAAATCATAAAAATCGCCATGCGTTTCCGTTTTGATGATGGTGGATGGGGTTTTCCTCTCCTGTAAGTAAAATAGCACCATCGCATCCTTCTATTTTTCTCTCTACTAAGTTTCCTAAAATATGTTACTGGTCTAGACATTGCATGTTTTTCATCTAATTTGGGTTCTACATGTTCTTAGAATTTTTTCTAGGATTCTTGGGTATATTTTGAAGCTAGATTAGGCCAAACATATAGCTCTGTAGTTGTCTCACCCAGTTTGTTTTCCCTTCTTGAATATAGATTTTATTATTCGATTATTTTTCCATTCTCTTGGTATCTTTTGTTTTTGCAATGCTTCTTTTTCTTTTTATGCCAACCATTTGATTATTTCCGTAGCTATGCCATCTTCTCCACTTAACTTTCCTATTTTGATTTTTTATGGCTTCTTCTTTATTTCTACTTTTCCATTTAAAAAGATATTAAAAAAATACGAGGGTAACTGCTTGTGAAAATATTTAGAATTAGTGTATCAAGTAGCACTTTCATATTGATAAAAAAATGATATATTCTCTGTAATTCCAAAAAGCCTTTTATTTTCGTTAAAATATTATTTCAAAATTGCAGTTCCGCAACACACAAAATTTAAAAGCTTTATAAAAGTGATCGTTGCGTTTTGTTTCTAACGTATTATTATTTTATTATATTTATTAGGACACCGAGTGCGGTGAAATAACTGCTTAACAACAGTAAAATTCGTTTTATAAACACCCTGTAACGACAAAAGGGTCAAGATGACATAAAAATTACTAGTGGTTATACTAACCCCCAGAGTCTACGCAAACTGGACAAAAGCAATAAGGCAAAAAATAAGTAATCAATGCATCGATTTCATCGATTCCGTTTATGTCAAGCGAATCGAAAACATTCCATACTTTGATTAAATTACGGTCTTTGTCTTCAAATCCTTTTAATATGCTTTGTAAACGACTTTCTGTCAGAAAACCACTCTTATCGGATATCAAACCCATTAAATGCCTATAACAGAAAACATTGTATGCAATAGATATTTTCAATTTATCAATCAGTTCATCATCATACACTTAATTTTCATATTCTTTACACGTGTGTTTTTAATATCTAATCATAATAAAAATAGTTGATGCCGTTGACACCAAACAAAATAATAATAATAATAATTGCAAATTATTTTTAAGTTTTTACTACTGTTTTATAAGTATTTATTTTTGTAAATTTTGTAATTTGTGTAATTGTACATGGGTTGGATGTAAGAATAGCCATAGATTAAATCTCGCTCTAAATGTTCCATGGAGGTATTAGGAAGAGGAGTCGCTACGCGTGTGGTGAAGCGGTATCACTTGCGTCATATTGTCGTGTTAACCATTTTCAACCAGTCCAATCCTGTTCTGTCTCGTTATCCACTCGATGGGAGAGACATTCAGGTTCCTACGCGAAATTACTAGACGAGTCTACCATGGTACCTATTCTTAAATCTAAGCGAGTAGAAATTTTGAGGGAAGAATGAGACAAAAATACAAATTTTGTGTTTTGCAGATAAAGAGCATAAACCAGTTTTCTACTCTCTCAAATTCAAGAATAGCTGTCCAGACGTGATGCAACTGCGGCGATACGACACTTGGTGGAATCGAAGACTCTAGACCAGTGGTTCCCAAAGTGTGCGCCGTATAGAGTAAACAGAGGACCCGCGAGGAAACTAAACTTAGGTATTCGGTTCGCGGCTACAAAATAAACAATTCAAATCCCGCTGTTTGCGTGGGTCACCGGGGTCATATAAGCTGATGAGGACTTGTTTTTAAGAAGCTCACTAGAAAGATTTGCTCTATTCTTTTAGAAATTTCTGTTTCGTAAATCTCGTAAATCTGGCAACCCTAGTGCGCCTAGACAAAATACTACACCTGTAAGTGCGCCGCGAACTGTAAAAGTTTGGGAACCCCTGCTCTAGACTAATCTGAACATACCTTCGAAAACAGGTCCAGCTCGCCCCATTTGTATATGTCAGAAGTGGTATACTGTTAATTAAAAGTGGGTAAAATGGCTAAGAAACTGTGTGATTTAAACGAGGCTGAGTTACGTCAGGAACTAGAAGCACGTGAATTGGAAACGACGCGAAAGTAAAACAGAGCTGGTAGCGCGGCTTAAAGAAGCAATAGTGAGGGTTTGGATCCGGAAAAGTATCTATTTTCTGATGATGCGTCTTCTGCTTATTATAGGTTCTTCAATTTCTTTCGGTTTAGAAAGTAAAATATCTTCTTTGATATTTCTTTCTTAGAAAGTATAGTTTTTTCTAAAATGTATTCCTTGGAAAATAAAGTTTCGTTCTGATATTTCTTTTTTAGAAGATTAGGTGTTTTTTGAAATATCTTTTATGGAAATTAGTCTCCTCTAATGTTTTTTCTATAGAAATGAAATATCTTCTCTAAAAAATGAAATTTCCGAATTCAAGAAGGAGGAGGACATGTTGAATATTTACTAAATTAAATAGTTTATAAAATATGTATAATTATTACCAAAGTTTATTTTTTAAATGTAAATTTTTTGTTAATTGTTTAATTAAAAAAATAGCTTTTTTATTTACTATTAAATTTAAATACATTTCGCAACTAACGTGTATTTTTATCAGTGGCATGGTTAACCCCATGAGTACGGGTGACACACCATTTTTATGGCGTCAATCCAATATTATTAAATATCTTTTTTACAAAAATATAATAAAAGAGGTAGTTTTTTGCAGGGGCGGCTCAAGCACAGCCCTAGGAACACCACTGATTTTTATATGCGTTTTTTTGTACAATAACTCTGACTTTCTCTTAGTTTTGTTGATATATTAAGTCCAGGACGGACGAATTGATCTAGAAATTCAGTTAAAAAATTGTAAAAAACTCATTAACTAAGAAAGATACAAAGTTCATGTCGCTATAAAAAAATTTAAAAATTCATAGTTCTTTTTGATTTTAGGATCGATAAAGCAAGTTTCTTTATGTCAAAAAAAAATACAGGGGGGTTAAAAGGTACCCAACCCCCCAACTTTTTTTAAAGGGGTCGCTTTAAATTTTTTTTCTCCTTAGAATATTGGGCCTTTAAATCTACAGCAATAGCAAAAATTTCGAAGAAAAAATCGCAACAGCAAACTTTTTACAAAAAAAAAACGTTTTTCTGAATGTTAGTTTAACACCCTGTAACTTTGTTGGGAGCCAGTTTTTGATATAGGTAAATATAGCCAAATCCACTTATTTTTTGGTAATCTATCTGAGGATGAATTTATGACATACCTTTTTGAAACACCCTGTACATTTCTCAAAGCGGGTCATTTGCGAGCGGCCTGGCAAGTGTTCATTAATTTGAATCGATTTAGCAAAAATGTGTTTTTAAACCGATTTCCAGTCTTTTAATAATTAAAAAAAAAATAATTGCCCACATTTTTACTTCATAAGCATACTGCATAATCTTATGTTTATTTTTAAAAACATGAATAATCAATCTATATAAATATCTATATCATTGACCCTATCAAACCACCAGGCCCACAGTGTTGCCAAAGTTTAACCTGTCATTTCAAACGGGCAGCCATTTTGTTTGGAATGCCTAATTCGTTTGACGAAAATTAAAAAATAAATTTTTTTGTTTACCGAATTCTCCGACAATTTTCCGAAAAAACCTAAAACGTTGCGTGTATTACTCGACGTTCCTCACATGGTTCCTCTTATGGTGTCACACGCTACGGGTGATATTTCGGAAAGGGGTGGGCTGGGCAAATTTTGTTATTGGAAAGACCCATCTTAATTTCATACGAGCAATCATCTCCTGAATTTTGTCACATGAATTTAGAAACAACCTGTATTTTAGCAATAAAAAAATGTAAATAAGCGCTTTAATAATTTTTAACAAAAAATATGTACATACGTCACTGAATTTTTCACTTTTTGATAGCACAATTAGTATCAAACTGATACATGTCAAGCAAAAACTAAATCCATAAAAATCTAGTATGCTAGTGTCATCTTTATTGACTTATTATAATTTTAAATACTGTTGGTTATTTTCTAAATTTTCCTAGGATTTTCTTTTATTGAATGTAAAATTGTAACAAAATGAAACAAAGAATCTGTTGATAGGAACTATTTGTCTTATTTTTGAGTAGGGAATCACCCCACGAGCGATGGCACATGTTTTTTTAAACATCCTGTATATTTATTTGGAAATAACTTTATTAGTCTTATAATATTTAGCATTTATGTTTTATAACTTATCAAATACATTTATGTATATATGTCTTAAGGACAATAAAAACTTTATACATTTTAGTTAGTTTTAATATCAGATTTTAGGTGTCATTTATTATATTAGCTAGCTGGGCATACTATCACTGTAGAAAAGTGTCTCGAACATTATCTACCGTTAGATAAAGATGCAAACTAAATGCTGGCAACGTTCCACTTTACCAATCGCTTGGAAGACGTTTGAACAGTTTAAAAATAGACCAGTCAAATTATCAAAATTATTTCAACAAAATGATATCTGTTCTGGAGGTAAATAATAAACAAATGAATTAGTTATTAAAATTTTTTAACTATTTGAACGTATAGTCTTTGAAGAGTGAGTAGAAGAAAAAGGTTTTAGTAGAAGAAGAAGAAGAAGAAGAAGAAGAAGAAGAAGAAGAAGAAGAAGAAGAAGAAGAAGAAGAAGAAGAAGAAGAAGAAGAAGAAGAAGAAGAAGAAGAAGAAGAAGAAGAAGAAGAAGAAGAAGAAGAAGAAGAAGAAGAAGAAGAAGAAGAAGAAGAAGAAGAAGAAGAAGAAGAAGAAGAAGAAGAAGAAGAAGAAGAAGAAGAAGAAGAAGAAGAAGAAGAAGAAGGTTTTTGTAAATTTGTAAGAGATTAAATAAATTTTGCAATACCCCACTCATTGATACTGAATATTTCTCTTTTTGTCGGTATTTAAAAAATCAACAACTATTAAAAATAACTTTTTTTGTTACAGGGTAAACATCTAATTTGATAAAATTTCTTTACAACATGAGTCACTATCTACAATAGTGGTATTTGACTTATAGTGCCACATTATTTAGAATAGCTGCATGGTTCTTTATCTCCTTTCCCTACTACCTCCATGGTTAAAACCGATGTGCGAGTCATTGCTCATATGATGGCTAAAGAATAAAAAGAATTGTAGCAAAAATTATGATTATTATATCCAATACATACCTTACCAACTTCCGGTAAGTAGGATTAAAATCTGTAATTGATTCTGTTAAACTCGAAGGCTCATTTTCCTTTTTTTGACTTTGACTAGCATAACTACCGTTATTCTTATGTACGTTTTTGGTAGACTTTTTTTGCTGGTTTACATTATGTATTATGGTGAGCGCATGTTGGTAACTGGGCATAAGTTGTTTATCTATATCTTTAATATTAGGTTCATTCCAAGGTAGACCTAAAAACAAAATCGATGCTAACCCATTCTTTGAAGAGTAAGTTAAAAAAAAATAATAAAATTTAGTGTAGATATTTATTTAAGTTTAATAATCCTCTAGAGGATAAGTTTCGGACTAGCTTTAATTATATAGCATTTTCCACAGTCACCCTCTATTTGTAATTTTTTTTAAATTTTAACTAATTTGTTAAGTTGTTTTCAATTGTACTCAACGCGAATAGTGAAGGTGGTATAATTCCTTTGTTCCACACAAGCTAACTTGCTTCTGGAGATCAGATATGATTTTTAAGGGCTCATCCCACACTCACTATTCCCAAAACTGGGTTATGTCACTTTGTTTGTTATCTTTTAATTGTTAATTTGTTCAAAATAACCTTATATATATATAATTTTAACTTTTGACTTAAAAGTCTTACTCAGATTTTATATTTAACCATATTTTTAAATTGTAAGTTTACATCCACAATTTTTGTAGATAAGCACTGATGATGGCACAATGCCAATAGCGCTTTGCATTTATTAATTAAATAGTTTTGCACGAAATACAAGTCTTTCCTTTTGAATCTAAACTACGTGCACACAGCTGTCAACCTTTTTTGGTTATTTTAATATAGCAATGTGACTAAATATAAAAATGTTTGTGATGTACTGAGAATTCGGAGGAGAATATTGCTTTAGGTTTAACATTTAAAGAAAAACAACCCAAGTAGGTATGGAAGTTGAGAGTTCTTAAAAATTCAGCTATAAAATGACATTCTAGAAAATAGTCTCCTTCAGAACTTTATACACTTAAATAAATATCTTTACCAAATTTTTTCTGTTTCAAATTACAAAACTATATAACAAATATACCCAATTGTTGCTGGTGTAGAGTTTTATCTATCTGATATATCTGGTCTAAAAGATCCAAAACTGAATGTCTATTCAGGTCCCATATTTGGTTGAACAAAATTTCATTTGACGAGGCAAAGTGATCGGCTTTATCTTCTATCTGTAATATATCGTGCTTCAATTTTTTTAAAGATTCCTCATGTCGTTGAATTTTCTTTGCCATTTGGTTATAAAAATCACGTAAATTCTTTTGCAAACCGATTATTTTACCTTGGAGATAAGTGATTTTCTTTTTCTGTTCAGCTTTAATAAAAAATATAAATTAAAGTCATATCTTATTTTTCCGTTTTATTTGATAAAAAGATAATGATCTGAAAATTTTCCCAGCTGTATTTGTAAAGTTGACGATCAGGTAAAATATGGAGTGATCCACAAAAAAATATTTCTAAAGAGTCACCGTAATAATTACAATCGCCTCTAGATTAAATCCAAACTGTCATTTAAAAAAGAATTGAACGCTCCGACATACTTGATTATTTTTCATGATCAACTTCTAAAAATCTTTTTTGTGGATTACTCCATACCTACCGCATGTTCCGCATCGTCATTATCAAGTATTTCTTGGTAGTTTCGCCAAGTTGCTTTAGTAATTCCCTTTCAAGTTTAGAGCCGTCAGTTTCTTCCAATCTGCTTCTACAATTGGCAGGGGAATGTAGGTTGATCAAGTATGATGTCATGCCCATGGAAATGGCATGGGGTAGAATTCAAAAGATTTTAGCTCAGGTGATTTCTGGCAAGCAAGTCAGCAAGACGGTTACTTGTCTTATCGCAACCTTTTGACCCACCTCGGCAAGACATGATTGTAATTTGAAGTTTCTACCAGGCAGGAGCATGCAGTGAAATTGGGGAGAAGGGAAGCAAATGCCAAAAACTCACATATTTGTACATTAGGCAATTGAGACTCTTTTCATTTTTCGCAAATTCGTCTTAACTTCTGTGTAAAAACGCGGATACTGCGACATTTCCTTAACAAGATTGTTTTCAATTGCTTATACATTGGTGAGTCGATCTTGTCCTGTCGAATTTGACAAGTTAGTCTTTAGGCGTTTAAGCGCGGGAAAACTACGGAGGAGGTACTAGTGGCTGGAATTATCAACACTAACTCACATAATTTCTCTTAAAAATGTCAATAATTGAATTAGTTTTCCGGAAATTATTTTCCTTCGAACGCGGTAAACTTACACAATTCCAGAAATTTAAAGTATCGAAATTTTTCAATCTGTTTAGTTTTAGTGCAAATAATTTAAAAAAAACTTGACATGTCCAATACATGACTTTCCTGTCTTCTCTAAAGTTATTATAGGCCTTTTCCGGTTATTCTATGCAAACTATTGTATCATCCCTGTAAAGGATTAGAGGATGAACTAAATACATACATTTTCCGGATACATCCTTACTCGAAACATTTTTTTATGTACATTCATTACCAACGAAAATACTGAAAGATTTAAATTTTATACTCCATGTGTAAAACAAAAATGATGGAGAATGATATCGGGATAATTTTCAAAATATTCGTAAGTTCCAAAAAAGTTTCGGAAATAATAAGTGAAAATAATGAGAAAAATTTGAATTTTGCACTCTACCTCAAATTTCTCGAATACGGTCGATTTTAGGGAAATCAGGTATATGACAAAAATGATAGAGAATGACATCACAAGCAACTTTTATTTGAAGAATTTTTTTCTCCAAGCGTAAATAACTGATATTATATTACTTAAAGTAGAAAAACGACCTTTATAAAGTACCAAAAGTGCCGCAAAACGGAAAATGTTTCACTGGTTGGCAACATTGGATGTAGACATCCCAAACACCACAATACGCGTGTATTTAATACATTCAAATGCTTCCCTTGCTTCCATGGACCGCACGCCCCTGCTACCAGGGGTTTGGTGATATTCTAGTGCATATGTCTGTTCGCTATTTACGCGGGTTTCGGATTAACAAAATTATGCAAATTTAGTACCTACCCTAATGTTATTTTAATTTAAATCTGACCATTAGGGCAAGTTTACCTAATTTCTTGGGAAGAGGCTTATTGGAACTGGTTGTCAATGACTAATTTGCATAATTTTGTTAATCCGTTATTGTTATAGCGAACAGACTGTAGACTCATGTATTCCGTGGTCTGTTTAATGCAGAAGAATAACTATTTATTGTAGGTAATCCTTGTCCCATGCAATTGTTCGTCTTGAGTAGGTAACCAATGTAATTAAGTAGTGCTTACCTTTAATAAACACATTTTCGTTTCGACGACTTTCTAATATCCAAAAGTTGTACTCCCATTTTTCCAGATTGTTCTTTACAATAGCTTTAATCCTTTCTAATTCATCTCTAGACACATGCACATCAATATCCAAACGTATATTAGTCTGCCGCAATTCTTCAGCAAAATTATCTCGAGTCTCAATAAGCAAGTGTCTCATCTCGTTCCTTAATGTAATCATTTTATGAAAATTAGTTACAAGCAATATCATTTACAAACCAATATAAAATACATTTCACTTTTATCCAAAAACTATGCATATTATACTCTTCACACAGTAGTCTGTGGAGAGTATTAAAGGTTTACTTCGTCCGTCCGCCCGATGTCATGTCTTTTGTCCGCACGATAACTCAAATATCAAAAATGATATCAACTTGAAATTTTTAGCAAAAATTAACCTATAAGGGGAAAAGGCCCTTTGATTTTGAAAAAATCTGATTAAAAATGGGGGGTTTAAGGGGGTGAAATTAAAAATCAAGCTCTATAAGAGACGAAACGTATTGAATCTGAAAAAAAATTAATAAAAATGGTGGTAAGGAGGTTGAAATATTAAAAAAAAAAAAAAAAAAAAAAAAAAAAAAAACAGGAAGTCAAAAACGAACAATAATATCAACTCGAAATTTTTGGCAAAAACCAATCTCTACAAGTGGTCAAAACCTAGTAATTTAAAAAATCAGAATAAAATAAGAGGCAAGGAGGGTTAAATAAAAAACCTAGAAATCAAAAACCAAAAGCGATATTAATATGAAATGTAAAAATCAAGCTCTATAAGGGAACGACTAAATAAATAAAAAGGGGGAGATAAGGGGGTTGAAATATATATATAAATAAAAAAAAATCCTAACTCAGGAACAGAAAACGATATCAAATTGAAATCTTCAGGAAAAATCAAGCTTTATAAGGGGATGAAGTCCATTAATTCTGAAAAAATCTGATTGAAAATGGGGGTTAAAGGGTACTGTTAAACTGTGAATAGTCTAATATAGAATGCCAAGCCTCATATAAGTATCTTCTTTCTAGTTCCCAATGCCCTTGTTTTATATCTTAAAGTAGTTCACTCGCGACAGTTGTACACAAAAATATCGCCTAATGGTGAATATCAAAAGTTCGATATTCTTAATGTTAACAAATGTTATTTTTGTAAAAGACTGTACACAACACATGTAAGCTTATCGAAAACGTACCGCAAGGCATTACAGGGTGGAAAAGAACTTTTCCTACGACCACTTAGGAAAGTGACACATATCACACTATATAATCCTATGGAAAGTGCCCTATATCACACCCGTATGAATAAGAATTTACTTTCCACCCGAGTGAGAATATGTTACTTTCCGCAGTAGTTGTCACAAAATGTCAAACACCTAATTTCTATTTTGATCTATGTAATGTCCATATTAATACTAAAATCGATATGATTGTTAAATTATTGAAATTGTTGTAAATTAGATCCTAGATATTTATCTTTAACAATTATTATTAAAATAATTTTAAAATAATGTTTGCTCTTTATTCTGGTTAAATACATAACCGATTAGATCATTCAATTGACATAAGGGCTATTAGCTCAGGTGGTTAGGACGTCGAACTTATCAACTTTGCCATTTTTCGACCGCGTTCAAATCCTGGCGGGGCAGAATTTTTGTTTTGTTTTTTTTTTGTTTTTTTATTTTTTTTTTAGTTTTTTTTTTTGTTCAGAAAATATGAAAATTGAATAAATACGATTATTGTTGATTATTTTTTTAAATACATTTTAATTATTATAGTAATAATAACCTTGGTTTTACATTTTTTTGATGACATTATTTTGTGGTCGTAGGAAAAATATTTTACATCACTTGTGTGAAAAGTGATTTTCCACACTCGTAATGTAATATACTATTTCGGCGAAATCCAAAAACACGTCAAGTTTGTTTGTCAAGGGGACACCTTTTGACGCAAAAAGCATAGTAAAACCTTCAACTCCCTCAGTAGGGATGTCATCCTCCAAATTTTTTCAAAGGGAGAAGGGGGTCAAGTGATATCTCATTAAAAGAGTCTATATAACGCTACCGAGTTTGAAAATCAAGCCACTCGTTTAGAAAATTATGAAGCCTTGAAAGTTAAACAATAATGTGTGACGAAAAATGCAAAAAGCGATTTAATTTAACTTGAAAACATGCCGTATTTTTGAATTTACTGTAACGATAGTCTAATTTATTTATAGTTTATTTATTTAAAACACACTATTTACAATTTATTTAAGACGTACTATTTAATTTATATAATACTTAGACACTAACTAACAATTCTAATTTATTTATTACACTTTAACTTTTCATTCCAATACTCTGAACTAAACTAAACTGTGCGCCGATGAGTCGGCTATTTATACCAAGCCAATTCTGTGCTCGTCGTTTCTGGGCGCTCCCGAAAATTCCACCTCCATGACTCAACGGCAGTTTCTCGAAGCGTCAGCGGCATACCTAGAAGATTTCGTCGTTTCTTGTATATTCGAGACGCGGTCAGACTATTTTCACACGTCAGCGTTGCTTCGATCATGAATCGAGTGGCAGACTTCCAAGGTCGCGCGTACACAGGGTTGGATTAGGAATTGCATGACATTACATTAATTATTCCCAGATTTAAAATAAAACACTTCATTAACTCGAAACCATAAAACATTTGTTGCTATAATGGTATTTTTTCAAAAGAATTTGCTGTTTTTGTTGCTTTGCAGTTTCTTTGGGCTCTTTTTGTTGGTAAAAAATTTTCGGGTTTCTTTCTTCACGTTTAAATTAAAGTACTTGCTCGATACCTGTCTTATGGTCAGTGTTTGGAGGATGGCACCCTTACTGAGGGGATTGAAGGTTTTACTATGCTTTTTGTGTAAAAAAAGTGTCCCCTTGACAAACAAACGACGTGTTTATGGATTTCGCCGAAAAGTTCTTTTCCACCCTGTAATGCCTTGCGGTACGTTTTCGATGGGCCACCCTGTACACGGATACGTTATTATTTCAAGTAAAATCCATCCGGCAACGTCGCAAATATATGAATGGTTGGCTATCAAGTGAGTGTGTATACCGACAGAAATTTGTGACTACCTCATACTAATTTTAAGGGGTTTGTTTTGGTTCAACCAGAACCATCGATTCCAGTCCTTAAATACACTGGACGAATTATTTTTTTAAAAACACGTCGCGAGGTTATAACAACCGTCGAGTGTAATTCAGTTTCCGAAAGAACCAAAACAAGCCTAAAATAATCAACAGACATTTGAGTTATCGTGCGTTAAGTGTAGCGATTACAATGTTGTCAAGTTGTAATCGTACCTTACTAAGCATCGAAAGCTTTAAAAATATTTTTATTTTAAAAATCTATATCTTGTTACAAAAACGGTCAAAACATTTTATAACTTCTTGATTTACATTACATTAGTTTTTAAAAAATATAGTAAGAACCGTTTTCGAGATATCTTGAAATAAATGCATTGCTTGTGTACATGACAGGATTCAAGAGTGACAATTATGCACATTTTGATATTTTATTTTTTTTTAGTTACGTAAAATACACTTTCAATAACCTTATATTTCAATTTTATTGAATTCTAAAGAAAATCCGTTTTACGAGTGAACTACCTTAATATACTTTTTTCGATTTAACATTTTCTTGTCTTGAATAATTTAAAGTTTAAAATAGTTTTTATTAAAAAAGTTTTGCTGAAATTACAGAACAAAATAAAAAGTGTTAAGAATCGTTGTAAAGGTATTTAATGATGAAATAATATGGATTTAAAAAAATTGAGTAAATTCATCAAGTGGCCACATTTGGGATATGATTTAAAACACTCGATATACTCTGTAATTCAAACAATTATTTTAAAATAATGTCTATCCTACCTTTTATTTTAAAAATGTAATTTTCTATTTTCACAAAAAAAAAACAAAATAGCTTTGCAACAAGAAAAAACGAACTACATAGACACTCATCGGTATATGTTCTCCAATTTTTGACCAACACTATTCATAAACTCACCTGTATTCAGAAATTTATATTTGACAACAGTTACTAACTAAACTTGTATAACTAGATTGAAATGTCAGGTTAATATCATCACAGGTTAATAATCTGCAGAACTTTAACGAACTGAGAAGATGGCTGTTTGTAGACATCTCTCAGCGTCAATCAGTAAGTTTTTGGCGAGTTGATAACCTGCAGGACTTTTATGAGCTGGGAAGATGGCTGTCTCGGGACACCTCTCAGCGACAACCAGCAGGATTTGACAAATTGCCCCTGGATGATACACAATGGACCGTATGAGGCCTAACGCTAGGGAAAAACACACCCTACCCCACCTTACAGATACAAAAAGATTATGGCCTACTAGATAGGATCAGTGGAAAGAGAATAGCCCTCGTATTTACCTACAATCATTCATTCTTAGTTTGCCTTCAAATTGTACTTGTTTTTTTATATCATATGGACACTAATACGCTTATGGGTCCATCTAAGCGATTTAGACTAAATTAATGAACACAGTACGTGATATCAAGACGTAGGTACTTGACTAGCATCCGTATTCACAAGGCATTTTTGAATAGCTACCTACCTGTAAATCGTTAATGATAGGAAACGTCAATTCAGAAAAATAGTAGAGACGAACGTTGGTTCGTTAGTTACGTGTCCTAACTTTATCGGCATTATAAAACGTCCATGATCCTTTAAATGCTGGACAGTCGCTAGAAACATACCATTTTACCTTAAATAATCTGTGCTTGACAAACATTTTCTCCAGTAGCCTTATGGACTAAAACCATATACCTATACGTCAGTTCAATGTAAAAGTAAATTACAGTATCGTAACAGAACACGCATGAAAACTATAAAAAATATTTGGCAACAACGCGAACTAGAATACTTGTTAGCTGTTCGATTTTGACTCTTTTGAAGTTCCTAGCCTAGATTTGTATAAGACCTATGCCAACTTCAGTGGCGTATGCCCGATATAACCTATTATTAACCTATTTAGGTATTTTTTCAATTCAAAATATTTTTTCACATTCTTTGAGATTATAAATATTAATCTGTTTTAATACCAGGGCAGTACTGTTTCCGTTGAGCATATATATTCCTCAGGGATCAAATCTAGGCCCGTTGCTGTTTAATATTTTCGTGAATGACATCGTGGATGTAGTTGATGTTGACTCTTTAATTTACGCCGACGATTTTAAATTTTACATAACAATTAAGAACGTCGCGGATTGTGAAAGGCTATCTGAAAATCTTCTGAGAGTTATCGAATGGTGTCGGGAAAATAACCTTAATTTGAACCCCTCGAAGTGTAATGTCATGTCTTATTCACTAAGTTCTGATCCAATTGCTTACAATTACCGTATAGGCAACACTCTATTATACAGACCGAATAACTTTGTGGATTTGGGCGTTACTTCTGATTCAGCACTATCCTTCAATGACCACATTGTCGGTATATTAACTGCGGCAAGCCGCATGTACGGATTCATAATTCGGAACTGTCGGGATTTTAAGAATGCAAGTACTTTAAAGTATCTTTATTATGCGTTTATCCGCTCAAAACTGGAATATGCTTCGGTTATATGGAGTCCCAGTTACCAGGTATCAGGTTAGAGGCTCTTCAAAGATGGTTTCTCAAATATTTAAGTTTCCGAGAAGACCAAGTGTATCCTCCAATTGGCACCCCACATAACTAACTATTAGTAAGACATAGTTTTTCGAGTCTTGAAGCAAGGCGCATGTATTTTTCAGTGGTTACACTGCACAAAGTCGTAATAAATTGTAAAGACCTGCTGCATATGTTAAATTTTAGGATTCCCCGCCAAACTTCTAGGTGCAATAATACTTTTTACTTGACCACTCCTCGCACCAACATTTTAAGCACATCTCCATTATATGTCATGTGTAGTAATTGCAACAGCATAAACTCTGAGTTGGATATGTTTAACATTAGAATTTTGGACATAAAACATTTGCTTTTGTGATTATTTTATCTTTTTAAATAGTCTGTTTTTTTTTCTTTCTTAAATCTATATTCTGTATTGTCATATTTTACCTGTTCTTTAATTGGGAATTTCCTGTAGAACAGTTTATAAAATAAATAAAATTAAAATAAATATGTATACTCGACGCGCCGAAGAGATGCAGCAATAAAACTGAATGATCAACATGTGTTGAGGGCTTGAAACCACCTTTGACCAGGTTATAGGTCAGAAGCAAGTTTTTTTAGATTATTGAGGGAGGCGAACCTTGAATATTTGTAATTATTTTAATATCAATGATAATAAATGTAGGATATCTACAAGTGGAAGAAAGTAAATCATATATAAAACAGTCCGCTTTGAACTGATAAACTAAAACTCTCGCCTAGTCGTCGGCTCCTCATCTATTGTTGATGATCTACAGACAGTAATCGGACACTTATTTTAGGCTGAGTATAGTAGGCGATTATATTTTTGCAACAAATTTTGTCTTGTTTTCAATCTAGTTGTTTACAAGTTTAGTTAGTGACAGTTGACAAATATACCTGATTGTAAGTTACACAAGTTTAAAATAATTAGTTCGCCAATAAGCGATGAAAATGAACAAGGAGCATCATCGGGATATTACTTTTTACAATTTGAAGCGTGGCTTAAACCATAAAGAATGATTTGAAGAAATCAATCGAGTGCTTGGTGACAAGTCATGTTCCTTCGTGACAAGTCATGTTCCTTCGTGCTCCAAAGCCAAAAACAGTAGTTACAGAAAAAATATTGATCTTATTCCTAACTTGATTAAAGAAGATGGCACATTACTGTCAGAAACGTTCAAGCAAATTTAAAGATTGGTGTAACAATTAAAAAAAATTTACATAAACATTTGAAAGTCCATAAGTTTTGTTCTCGGTGGATTCCCCACAACTTGATCTAAGCTCAAAAAACCGTGTGAAATGGTGCAGATCTATAGTCGTAGATCGCTTTGACCCTGGATGTTGTAATTTGGTGTACATCATCACAGGTGATAAAACATGGGTATACTACTTTGATGAAAATGAGTCGGCTTCAACAAAAGTTGTTTGTGAAAAAAGTAGAAAGAAAAAGTTAATATTTTTTTTTTAATTACTGGGCATGTTTCCACTGTGGCATTGGAGGATAAACGACGTACTGTTATTGCAGAATGGTACACTATAGTTTTTTTGCCTCTGGTTCTCCAAAAGGTTCGCGAAAATATCAAGATAACGCTTGGGCTTACACTGCTACTCGAACAAATGAGTATTATTTGAATGCCCAAAACATAGAAATTATTGGGTTAAGCAACGTAAGTACATTGAAAACTTAATTCACGCAGACGAAGATATGGGCTTAGTATAAATCAATGTATTTCTCATATATACCGATGCTGTATAGAGGTATTTGAATATTTAAGAACAGCCTGAAACGGCGTCTGGCCCGAACTAGCACATCAAATTGCTGTCTAGGAATCTCGATAGTCAATGTTGCCATGGTTATGCAGTAAGGGCATTTGTGTACAGAACAAAGATGTCTGTGTTCGATCCCCGCTGCGACATGCTTTTTTTCAAATCTCTAAGTATTTGTTTTCATCTTAATCATCTTAATAATTTGTAGGGCGATTTTTGAGATTAGTTTCCTAATTTTCAAAATTATTCTACAACTTATTTCAGATAATTCTGACCTTTCGGATTTCGATTTTCGATCTACGATATATTATATTCATAATTTTAAATACAATTACAATCACGAAATGTTCAGGTTATTGCGGCTTTGCGCATGTCTTGACAATCCGTTCCTGTTTAGACTCAGGACCTGATATGAAAGTACACAAATCGGTTTGTGATTAGTTTTGGTTGTGTTGGAACAATAAACATGCATTGACTGTGCAGGAGAATACTTTAAAATATTATAAATTTTTTTGTAAAAAAAAAGGGTTTTACTTTACTATGCCCAACGAAAGAGAATATCATAAAGTTCCATTCGATCTGCTATATTTATGGTATATGCTATATTTTAAAGTGTTGAACGACATGTTTCACAAAAAAAAACTAAGAATGAAACCGGCCAAGTGCGAGTCGACATGACGGGTTCCGCACCATCGTACAAGATTTAATACTATGTAGGTACTATTTAAATACTTTATTAAGATCGAGCAAAAAAATTTTCGGGTCAAATTTCGTTTAGCCGAAATCAGTTACTGCTGGATTTGGGTTTTTGCTTAGTCATTAGCATGACAAGCGTTTCCATGGAAACAGTTTCTTCATAACTGATTTTGACTAAACTAAAATGAACATTAAAGGATCTAAAACTTGGCAACTACGCATTTCCTCACTACGAGATTTGGGTTTTTGTTTAGTTGTTGACATGACACGCGTTTCCATGGCAACAGTTTTCCTATAACTGATTTCGGCTAAAGTGGACCTTAAATGATTTATAATTTAGCAACTATGTATTTTCCCACCACGAGATTTGGGTTTTTGTTTAGTCGGTAACTTGACAAGCGTGCCCATGGCAACATTTTTTGCATACGTGATTTCAGTTAAATGAAATAAAACAAAAACCGCAATCATCTACAACTTGGCAACTACGCATTTCCTCACCATGAGATTAGGGTTTTTGTTTACTTATAGTCATCACAATTGTTATCATGACAATAGTTTTTGCAAAAAAGATTTCGGCTAAACGAAAGTTGAGCCAAAATTTCTAGTATGGGAGCCCCCTTTAATTTTTAAATTATTTTTATTTGTTGTTGTAGCGGCAACAGAAATACACATTCTGTCTACCTATTATGGGTCATGAGATACAGCTCGCTAATAGACGGACGGACGGACGGACAGCGGAGGCTTAGTAATAGGGTCCCGTTGGTTACCCTTCGGGTACGGAACCCTAAAATACTGGCATTTTGGAAGCACTTAGATAGCGAATCACTTTTTTAATGATATAAAAATATTTCAAAGTTATTTTATAAATTAGACTTTGAATTTATTCATTAATTATTTTAGACAAACATTTTTACCTCTGTTCGATAATAAACTCAGAATTCTCATATTCTTTATCCATGTATTTTTTGTAGAGGTCGTTCCAAAGATCGTTGCGCATTTTAAAGAACTTTTGTTGTTCCGATTGAATTACATTTTGTATTGTACGAAATTGTTTTTCAAAAGCTGTTTTCAAATATTTTATTTGCAGGTTGATCCTATGAGTTAGTATCTCCATGTCGTCCTTCTGTTTTGCTACGTCTTTATCAAAGTTTTTATCGACTTCCATCAATTCTAATTTCAGTTTTTTTATAAATTCGTCCTTTTTCTGTAATAACCCAACACATTGTGATTTTTGGTGCAGGATAGCTTCGTGAATTTGCAGAGGATCATTGAGAATCGTAAGCCCGGCCCATTTGGATATAATTTCATCAAATTTTTCTTCTGCTTCTTTAGATTGGGCCTCAAATTCTGTTTCGATTCTCTGTTTTGTTACATCATTAATTTTATTTCGTTCTTGTAGTCTTATATCGGCAGCTCTACGAATGTTTCTCACATAGGCGTCTCCTTCTTTTAATAAGTAGTTTAAAGTTTTATTGCTTTTTTCAACCTAAAATCACATGTAAACAACAGATACCGTTGTATTCATTTTGCAAAATTTTTTTAATTAAACCTATCGTACCCACAGGACAGAATTGTCATTTGTATTAAAAAGGTAAACTATTTCTAAATAAATGTAGTAGTACTTGTAGAAAGTACTAAAAAAACCTCTCGATTATGGAACATGTGTACCTGTAATTCTACTGGAGTCTTTGCGATTACCACCTCCTCTTCTTCATCGTTTTTACCCAGCTTTGCCCAAGCTATAGCTTTTTCTCTTCTCTCTATTCTCAATCTTCTTGCCAATTTCCTTTCTTCGGGATCAGATGAAGTTATGCTAGGTCCGGCTCTTACTTCCATTATTAATTATTACGTTTTTGATTTAATTTTGTCATTAGAAATTAAATTAAAAAAAAAATTGTGAAAATATGGTTTAAAGAATATATATCATTTACAAAAAAAAGTAACAAACATCTAACAAAAAGTTAACAAAATGTTAAAATGTTAAAAGATTACAGGAAGATTTGTCATTAAGCTGTTACTAGGAAGCGAATTTTCAGTAGCCATAGTAACCGATGATTTGTCAATATGATTTCTACAGTTATGCTCGCTGAATAGTCCGGTCCCAAATAATCGTTTTCTGTATTAAAACGAAAAAGAAATTCCGTGAATGTGTCGCAGACATTCGAATTTTAACAAATCTAAATGCAAAAGGCAGTTCGGAAAAAATGGAAGGGTGTTGCGTATAAAACAGATAAATTATTTAATATTAATTTATCTATGGTATAAAAACAGTTTAGAATAAAAAATAGTTATTTAAAATAAACAAAGACATTACAACTAAGAGATCAAATTGTTTACATTTTTATGTGGAAAATCATTATTCCCACCAGATTCTCGTTTATTGCGTCTTTGCCGGTTTTATCAGTCTGTAAAAATTATTTGGAGAAATTACTTTCGAAAAATAAAATTTGATGATCCTATAACTATAATTTTATATTATATAAATAAAAATATGTTTTTAATCAAATTATTCTTTAAAGTCTTAATATAAACTAATTTTTTATTAAAAATCAATATTAATTCAAACAAAATATTAGGGTTGCAAAGAACTCCGTAAATACGGCAAAGCTGAATATCTTATTTTACGATTTTACTATTTTTATGAATGAAATGTAGTTACCGTAACCAGCCGCAACGTTGCCAATCGGGTCTAACAGCTATTTTATATTTCTGACAGTTTCTGTGTGACTTATTGATTTATTCATTTATAAAATACTATTTTTGTGAACTTTTGTGAGAAATATAAAGAATTATCGTACATGCATGTGTAGTGTTCAATAAGTTAGATCATTTAAATCGAAATTTATCCTTTCATCGGTAAGTATTTTTAGGTTAAGATATGTTGTTTTCATTTGAACCAGTGGAGTAGGGCACCCGTCTTAAGACTGTTTTGACTATACAATTTCTTGTAAAAGATTTAATACAATTTCTTATAGAATTTAAATTCTATTGGCTCACATAGTAAATTGTTTAAAAAATGATTATCCAATCTAATTTTTCAGACAATATACTGCAGGTTTGATAAAATACAATTTAAATTGTACAAGAAATTGTATCAAAAACTTGTGTAGTCTAAAACAGTCTTAAAACAATTTTTAAAGTGATATTCCTTTTATAAATTAGTAAAATATTCTTATACCAATAAATAATTATTGAATAGTGGCAAAGAAAATTTAACTTAAAATGTACCTACTTAGAAAACCTTTAAATTATTTACCTATTAGGCACCTATACATATTTTTTAATATACGCTAGTTCAGTGAAGATGTAATTATGGTTCCACTGACAATTAAAGTGACAGTAGATTTTTTGAGTGCGTTTTGTTTACCTAAATTATATCGTTTTTTCACTTTTATAAATATATTCCTAAAGTAAGTAGATAACATGCATCAAATATACAATCGTTTAGTTAGCAATTACATACCTTTCAATTATTTTTTATGTCCTGTAAACAATATTTAGAAATAAACTTAAAACAATAAAACCGTATATGTCAAATTTATTGATGTTTTTGTTAAAAGTTTGGTTAGAATTAAATGTCAGTGGAACCAAAATGACATTACACTGAACTAGCGTATTATATTTAGGTTTCCGAAAGATCCTGAGAAAAGAAAACTTTGGTTTTCTCTAGTAGGGATCCTTGAAAATCAGCTCCTTCGTAAAAACCCAGAGTTGTGTTCAGAACACTTTTTTCCTGAAGATGTTTTGGTACGTGCAAATGGTGCTAAATATATCAGAAAAGATGCAAACCTCAGACGGTGTAAGTGCTTTCTATTTTTGGATGACTTATCCATCAGGTAAAAATTCAAAATATTAATTTTTTGTTTACCTCTAAACGTCTAAACATTATTTATTACCTATATATATATATGTATATCTAATGTACGGGTTATTAGTTCTGATTCAACTGTTTTTGGAACACCATCTGCTGCAAAAAACATTGCAGTGAGTAATAACACTAATAACTATAAGCATAAAAAAATTAAATGAAATTTTAGTTAATTAAATTAAGGTATTTAATATATTTAAAACGTTATTTTAGAAATGTTTACAGTTTTTTACGATATTTTTTGCCATACCATGTTTTTTTGTAATTATTAATTAAAAAATTATATATTTTTAGGACAGTGTTTTATTTAGATACCCCTACCTACTTAATGTTAATTTAAAATAATTTTGGTTAACATCATACAAGGCAAATATATAGTAAATGCCAATAAACTATAAACCAATAAATATTAAAAATCGGAAGGTAACTTAAATTCTCTTGTATTTGAATTTACTTGTACTTGAATTTACCTACATGAAAAAATCATCATAATTATATTACTAAAAAAATATACCTACTTATTTACGTATTTTTTAACATACTACTCTGACAATACCGGTAAGTTTAAAACTCTACGCCACTGGCGAGCATATTATGGACACTGATTACAACGTTGCCAGCCGGTCCTAAAAGATCTGTCTTTCTCTCTTCCACTCACTAACAATTTTAAAACAATAACAGTCCGCAATTGTATGGAATTTATGAATGAAACATTTTGTCTCTATGTTGTAATGTCTTTGAAAATAAATAATTATTCGAATGAAACATATTAAAACTATTTCTTTTAATTTCATTTTATAAAAATCCAAATAAAAATAAAGGGGTTAAGGGTTAAAATATTAAAAAAAAAACTAACTCAAAAACGAAAAATGATATCAACTTTAAATTTTTAGCAAAAATAAAGCTCTATAAGGGACTAAGCCTATTGAATTTAAAAAATCTGATTAAAAGTGGGGGGTTAAGGGTGGTTGAAATCATAAATCAACATGAAATTTTTAGCAAAAATCAAGCTGTATAAGGGGAAAAAGCCCTTTGATTTAAAAAAAATTATTATTAAAAATGGGAGGTTCAAAGGGGTTGAAATTTAAAAAAATAATAATTCAATAAGGAAAAGTGATATCAATACGAGTTTTGCCAAAAATCAAGCTTTATAAGGAGATGAAGCAGATAGTCTCACAAGGAATGGGACTCAAAACACCGTTTGTGGGACCTGAGTCGTTCTGTAGTATCAGCAGTTAACACAATATTAGGAGAGATCAGAAAAGAATTGGATGGTAGAAGAACCGATAAATCGAACAATCTTTTGAGGCTAAGACAGACTAAGATACTTCTGGGTGAATATAACCACAAAAGATAGGAAGTATGTATCTGCTTGAGCAAGAACAGGATGCGCATTATAAGAGGGATCCTTACCGGGCTTTGCCGACTCAATGGGCACCTTAGTAAACTGAGAGTAGTAGAAGATAGTGAGCGCATATTCTATAAGGAGGAGGAAGAAACCTCCATTCGCATTCTCACTAAATGTGTAGCACTCCAGAATTCAAGGGCACTATACCTAGAAACATATCAAATAGAAGAGGGAGATTTACCTAACTTGAAGCCACTCCAAATCCTACACTTTCTTTAGAAGATAGGATTGGAATCGTCATTATAGACATCGAGACATGTCAGAAGGAGACACAATAGATATTTTAGGTCGCAGTGGATTAACCCCTATTCCAAACACAATAAACTGCGAAAGACATGTATACAAATAATTGAAGACATGGAATAAAAGAAGACAATACAAAAAATGATGTGAGTAGTAAGAAAGTGAGTAGAAAGAATGGGAAGTACTAGAGAGAAAAGAAGACGACCAGCAGAATCACAAATCCGAGTAGAAATAGTAGTTTGGTTTACAATAATTTTATCATTTTAGTTATAAAGAAAAGACAATTTAAAGTATAGACAAAACTAGTATATTGTATTAACGAAAATACTTTTTAAGTGAGAGAACAGGTTACCATCGATGCGCAGCCTAGGTTGTTTGTTAATGTTTGCGAGCTTCAACGAGTAAAACACTATATTTTTCCTACGGCCCTGCTTATGCCATATTCGTTAAAAATCCGATTTTTTTATTTTTGTATGTTTATTATTGTTAGACGTATATTTATATACTTAAGGGATAGGGAACATTTCTGTGTTAATTTTTTTCATTATTTTTAACAAACACTGGAAAATATAAAAAATTAAAAAAAGGTTGCACTTACCTGCTCTATTTGCTATATTCAAATACCGAATAAGGAAAAAATTGGCACATAAACACATGTTTGTTACTTAAGTCTTGGGTTTCGCTGTAGCAGTAATTTGTTTAGTTTATTTTGTAAGAAAACGAAACAGCCATTATCAGGAACTAAAAGGGGACATATTTCTATCATATCCTCAACTCTCGTACGTCGTTTCCCTCTCCGTCACCCTTTCTTAAGTGTGCAAAATTTGCACAAAAACATTTATATGTTACTAAAATCTTTGGTTCCGATGTAGCAATACATTGTTTAGTTCAATAAGGTGTACAAGTAATTTAAATAAATTTGAAATTGTAGTACCAAGATAGAAAATTGATATTTTTTAAGTGGGCAAAATTTGCACAAAAACATTTATGTTATTAAAATCTTTGGTTCCGGTGTAGCAACACATTGTTTAGTATAATTTGTTTCACATAAATTGTACAAGTATTTTGCATAAATTTGAAATTGTAGTACCAAGATAGAAAATAGACAATTACTAGTCATATTTAAAATAAATTGAAAATTTGCGAACAAACGCTTGTAATTCAAATCTTTGGTTCCGATGTAGCAACAGATTGTTTAGTACAATTTGTTTCACATAAATTGTACAAATATTTTGCATAAATTTAAAATTGTAGTACCAAGATAGAAAATAGGCAATTACTAGTCATATTAAAAATAAAAAGAAAATTTGCACACAAACGCTTGTAATTCAAATCTTTGGTTCCGATGTAGCAACACATTGTTTAGTTCAATTTGTTACTCATAAGGTGTACAAGTAATTTAAATAAATTTGAAATTGTAGTACCAAGATAGAAAATTTATATTTTCTTAAGTGTGCAAAATTTGCACAAAAACATTTATATGTTATTAAAATCTTGGTTCCGATGTAGCAACACATTGTTTAGTATAATTTGTTTCACATAAATTGTACAAGTATTTTGCATAAATTTTAAATTGTAGTACCAAGATAGAAAATAGGC